ACTATGATGCCCAGGCTGGTCTCGAACTCCTGCACTCAAACAGTTCTCCCTCCTTGGCCTCCCAAAGTGCTGGGATTACAGGCGTGAGCCTCCACATCCAGCCAAGCTGAGATTTTTGTTTTTGTTTATTTTTGAGATAGAGTTTCACTCTTGTTGCCCAGGCTGGAGTGCAGTGGCGCAATCTCGGCTCACTGCAACCTCCACCTCCGAGGTTCAAGCGATTCTCCTGCCTCAGCCTCCCTAGTAGCTACGATTACAGACATGCACCACCACGCCCAGCTAATTTTGTATTTTTAGTAGAGACGGGGTTTCTCCATGTTGGTCAGGCTGGTCTTAAACTCCTGACCTCAGATGATCTGCCTGCCTTGGCCTCCCAAAGTGCTGGGATTACAGGCATGAGCCACCACGCCTGGCCATTGGGATTTTTAAAGTAAGCTTTTGAAGAGTTTATGCAAAGTGATGGCATGATCCAGAATACTTGGTATCGATCTGTGGAATTGAAGAGAAGCAAAAAGTGGGAAACTCATTGGGAGATTGTTGCATAGTCCAAGCAAAAGATAATGTTGGATTGGATTGAGGTGATAGAGATGGAGAGAGATGGATGGATTTTGTGATACATATCGAAGGTAGAATTTGCAGGGCGTGCGATGGATCAGTTATTGGTAATCAGGAAGAAGGAAGATCCGTAACCATTGACTGTTTCCCAAGGTCAGTCCTTAGCATTGGAAAATAACTCTAAATATAAACCCCTTTTAGTTTCTGGTATGTTGACGAGATCAGAGAAAATAATTTAAGTTGAAGTTTAGAATGAGGGGCTGGGTGCAGTGGCTCCCACCTGTAATCCCAGCACTTTGGGAGCCCAAGGCCAGCAGATTACCTGAGGTTGGGGGTTCAAGACCAGCCTGGCCAACATGGTGAAAGCCTGTCTCTACTAAAAACACAAAAATTATCCGAGTGCGGGGGCACACACCTGTAATCCCTGCTACTCAGGAGGCTGAGGCAGGAGAATCACTTGAACCCAAAGGTGGAGGTTGCAGTGAGCCAAGATTGTACCACTGCACTCCAACCTGGGCAACAGAGTGAGACACTGTATCAAAAAAAAGAAGAGCAAAAGAAAGTGATGATGAAAAGATGCTCAGTTACCTTAATTCAGATTTCAGTGTTTACCTGGACCTTCTCTCAGAACATTGATTGTAGCCAAAATGGGAAAGGCACTGGATGGCTGGATAAAGCGTTTTGGATTTCATTCTATTAGTCATATCCATTGACCTGACTGTAGATACTACTGTCTATAGATCTAGACACCAGAAAGACCAAGGCATGATTAGAAAATTGTGACTTTGAACCCCATCCCCCAACCTCCAGAAGGGGAGAGGGACTGGGGGTTTATTAATCACCAGTGGCCAGTGATTTACTTAATCATATCTGTTTAATGAAGCCTCCATAAAAGCCCAGTAGGACTGGGTTTGGAGAGCTCCCAGATAACTAAGTGGAAGTTCCTGGAGGATGATGTCCCCAGGGAGGTAATGCAACCTTTGAGCCTCTTACCCCATACTTTGCTGTATACCTATCTTCATTTGTATCCTTTAAAATATCCTTTATATCATAATAAACTGGTAAATACAACTGATTCCCTGCATTTTGTGATAGCAAATTAAATCCAAGGAGGGGGTCATGGGAAGCCTGATTTATAGCCATTTGGTTGAAAGCATAGGTAAAACAACCCAGTCTTGCAGTTGGCGTTAGAAGTAGGGGCAGTCTTGTAGGGCTGAGCCCTCAACTGTGGTATCTGACGGTGTCTCCAGGTAAACAGTGTCAAAGGTGAATTGGAGGATACCCACCTGGTGTCTAGTATAGAACTGATTGATATTGGTGGGGAGAAATCCCCACACTTCTTGATGATGAAGGTGACAGCAGTGATTTGTATTGTGAGAGTATAGTATGAGAAACAGTTTGTTTATTCCTATATTTTCATACCCACCTTTTGTGAATTATTGTAGCCTATATGTGGAGATAACTGCAAATATTTTGTAATTTAAACTGTCCTAACTCAAAATGGATAGATGCCTTAAAAGGGGTTGATAATGATATAAGTACAAATGAACTACATAATGGTTAAATTAACATTTACTGCTTAACTGTCAACCATGCGACAAAGCAGAAACAATGATGTAATAGATCTGACAAGAAGTTACCCCCTCAGGAAGTTCAGTTATTAAAAAGAATTTTTTTTAACTTTTTTTTTTTTTTTTTTTGAGACAAAGTCTCGCTCTTGTCCCCTAGGCTGGAGTGCAATGGTGCAGTCTCGGCTCACTGAAATCTCCACGTCCTGGGTTCAAGTGATTCCCCTGCCTCAGCCTCCCGAGTAGTTGGGATTACAGGTGCCTGCCACCACACCTGGCTAATTTTTGTTTTTTTAGTAGAGATGGGGTTTCAACCATGTTGGCCAGGCTGGTCTCAAACTCCTGACCTCAGGTGATCCACCCGCCTCGGCCTCCCAAAGTGCTGGGATTACAGGTATGAGCCACCATGACTGACCGATAATTTTTTTTTTTAATTAGATATGGGAGTCTCAGTGCATTGCCCAGGCTGGTCTCAAACTCCTGGCCTCAATTGATCCACTTGCCTTAGCCTCCCAAAATGCTAAGATTACAGACTTGAGCCATTGCATTCTACGAAAGAATAATTTTAAATATGGATTTATATCCACTGTTATGTTTGGGTATCTTATGCCTTAAGTGTGTATTGAGTTTTAATACTAATGATATGGAGCCATTACAGTTCAAACATTTAAAAATTTTGCTTATGTTCTTATAAGCCTTTTCTATTTCAGCATGTGTTTTATAATGCATTAATATACTAATATATTCTTGTATATAATATATAAGCAAATTAAACTACAGTCAAAAATGTTCTGGAGATTACTGTTTGTGAAGCTATTTTGAGGAAGGCTCTAAGAAGATGACTTGGGAATGTAGGGAGCCTGAGCGGGTACCCTGGTGTTTTAACCAGCACTGACCAGAGTAGCTCTATTTATATCTTTTTTATATATGGAGGTTCTTAGTAAATTTTTGTTTGTAAAAGGGGTTCTGTTTTTTTTTTAAAAGGTTTGAAAACTTTTGTGGATGATGAGAGAAACCGAAGGATTTTTTATTTTTATTTTTATTTTTTTTTTGAGACAGAGTCTTGCACTGTCGCCAGGCTGGAGTGCAGTGGCACAATCTCCGCTCACTGCAACCTCTGCCTCCCGGGTTCAAGCGATTCTTCTGCCTTAGCCTCCCAAGTAGCTGGGACTACAGGCGCGCACCACCACGCCCAGCTAATTTTTGTATTTTTAGTGGAGACGGGGTTTCATCATGTTAACCAGGATGGTCTGCTCTTGACCCCGTGATCCGCCTGCCTTGGCCTCCCAAAGTGTCAGGATTACAGGTGTGAGCCTCCACGCCTGGCCGAAACTGAAGGATTTTAGACAAAGGAGTGACTTGAGAGAATTTTAGACTAACTCTGGTAGCAAGTTTCTCCCAAAAAGCATAGCCAGGAAGAAGGTAGAACACCGATTTCTAGCTATTTTTACCTGATGACACAGAAAATAAGAAGTATTAGTCTGAGGCCTGGATTAATTAAATAATATTTTTCATGTACTGTTTAAAGCCAAAAAGTACTGAAATGTTCCCATTTTCAAAACTTTGTCTTTGATCTGGAGATGATTTTTAGTTTGTATTCATGTCAGGTTATATTTATAAGTACTAGTTAAATGAACAAGTTATTACATATAAGGTGTTTTGTAGATTATATTTTTGGTAGAGTATAAACTCAATTTGTATTTGTTTGAAAATCAAAGTTTTAGCCATATTAAACTTTCATTATTATATATCCTTTAAAGATTGTTCATTTGAGTATTGCATAGTGTTTTTAGTGTTTAAAAATGTGTGTGTAGGCTGGGTGCAGTGGCTCACACCTGTAATCCCAGCACTTTGGGAGGTCGAGGCAGACGGATTGCTTGAGCCCAGGAGTTGGAGTTCCAGACCAACCTGGGCAAAATGGTGAAACCCTGTCTCTACAAAAAATTAGTGTGGCGTGGTGTGTGCACCTGTAGTCCCAGCTACTCGGGAGGCTGAGGTGGGAGGATTGCTGGGGCCTAGGAGGTCAAGGCTGCAGTGAGTCGTGATTGTACCCTTACACTCTAGCCTGGTCACAGAGCAAAACCCTGTCTCGGGGAAAACAAAAAAAACCAACAAAATATATATATGTATATTTGTGTGTGTGTGTGTGTGTGTGTGGTGTATGTTTTATTTTAAATCCAAACTTTAGTTTCTAATACAAGGGTTGACGACCTTTTCCTAAAAGTGTAACTAACCCTTTGGTAGGCATGTAATCGAAGACGTTCTAGGAGACTGCTTACCTAAACCTTGGGCTAATTTTTCTACACCCTAAGGTACTGAACTGGGTGCTGTTGGTAGCACTTGTAAATAAGAGCAAATAGCTTTGTTTCACCATGGTGTTGCATTTCTTAAGATCCTGAAGTCTTTTCCAGATTAAAAAAAAAAAAAAATGGCAAAAATAGAGTTAAGCCTTAACCTATTTTCAGGTATTAGTTAGCTTGCTTTTAACCAGCTCAAAGGGAAGGATAAATACATAGGTGGTTAGTGAATGGGACAGCTGATTTTCTAGAAGCAACAGAAAGTAGATGGTTGGAATGTCTTTGTTACAGTTTTAACCAAGAATGGCTAACCTTTTTATAAATATTATTTGGGTAACATGAGTCAGAGCCTACTAACCTGTTTTAATATTTTTTGTTTTAGAAAATTGCTCAGTGTCATTTTTAGTACCAAAGCTATTTTATTGCCAATATATTACTAATAATGCTAATCAAATATACATTTATTACTTTTATCGGGGCATTTGTCATTGCTGTGTTTTCAGTCCTCTTGATTTTTATTTATACTTTGTAGATATCTCTTTTCTAGTGTGATGATATAGAAATATTTATTTTTAAACAGGATACATTAATTGTTTGGTCAGAAGCAGAGAACTATGATTTGGCTCTGAGTTTTCAGGAAAAAGCTGGCTGTGATGAGATCTGGGAAAAAATTTGTCAGGTAAGTTTCTTTTTATAGTATTTAACTTAACGTTTGCATCTTTTCTTGAATTTTTGTTTCCTTTTTACTTCAAACATGTATTAGGATGTGGAGAGATAGATAGTGTCTTAATGTGAGACTTGATAATATAACTTGAAATTTTTTTATATTCTACAGCAAATTATTTTACTTCAAGTTTTTTAAAAACAACTTTGTCGTAGTTTTGTTTTACCACTTTAGATTTTGATAGCATATACTCATAATTAATACCTTATATTATAGAGTGGCAAGTACTTTAAACAAACCAAAAGAAGATTAAGTAATTAAGTCAGGCTTTTAGATTAAAAATAATAAATATTTGGTCATATGTTTGCCTGATGTTTATGAATACTGTACGAGGCACTAATGATCAACAGTATTCATGACTTCAGTTTATGTGGAACTTAGAGTGTAGCAGGATATATAGAATATGTGGTAACTCTTAAGTAACTAGAATTTTTTTAAAAGAAACCTTTTATTTTAGAACAGTTTTAGATTTACAGAAAATATAACTATAATGGAGAAGACAAACATCTCTTATTTATAACTAAGATATTGATTTACATATCTGCTGGAACATAAATTTATATGGTGGATAATTTATTCTAGTGATTTCTGTATAAGATTATCCTTGTCCCATCCTACTACCCCACCTCTATATGTCAACACCTACTTTTTAATACACGTTCTTGGATATAAATGTATTTGTCCACCCGGACGCAATTGCTCACACCTGTAATCCTAGCGCTTTGGGAGGCCGAGGCAGGCGGGTCACCTGAAATCAGGAGTTCGAGACCAGCCTGGCTAACACGGTGAAACCTCATCTCTACTCAAAGTACAAAAATTAGCTGGGCGTGGTAGCACATGCCTGTAGTCCCAGCCACTAGGGTGACTGAGGCAGGAGAATAGCTCGAACCTGTGAGGGAGGTTGCAGTGAGCCAAGATCATGCCACTGTACTCCAGCCTGGGCGACAGAGTAAGACTGTCTCAAAAAAAAAAAAAAAAGTGTTCGTCCTAGAAATTTTTGTGGAAATTTGTTTATTACTGCTTTCACTTAGGTAGTTTCAGGAGGTCTCCAAGAATGCTCTCAATTTGCATAATTCATCGGAAAGACTCAACAGAATTCAGCAAAACGTTATACTCACAGTTACCGTTTATTACAGCAAAATGATACAGATTCAAATAGCCAATGGGAAAAGGTGCATAGGGTAGGGTCTAGGAGAGTTCCAGGCTTGAGCTTCCAATTCTCTCCCCCAGTGGAATCATGCAGACAGCACTTACTTCTCCCAGCAGTGATATATGGCAGCACACATTCAGTACGGCCAACCAGAGAAGTTTACCCAAACCTTTGTGTCCAGGGTTTTCACTGGGGATTAGGGTTTACGTAAGCATGGCTTACCACCTGTGTGGCTAACCTTATTCCAGCACCTCCAGAGGTCAAGAATATCTTGTGGTCCAAGGCCCCCACCATGTACCACATTATTAGCATAGTATGTCTGGCATAGGTGAAGGCCCCCAGGTAAACAAAAACACTATTATGAAGCAGGATATTCTGAGAGCTTAGAGTTTACCTCTCTGGAGCTAGATAAGGGCCAAACTTTTCCTTTGGCAAGGTCAGTCCTTTACTGCACAGGCCACTCCTTGACCAAGACTCTCTTACACCAAAATGATCATATTTGTGTGAGCATCTACATTTAGCATAGGATTTATATCACAGATGGAGAAATAATATCAGTATGAATGTACCTAGCATTTGGGGCCAGTGTGGAGTAGAAACAGGTTTGAAGAACCAACTAAGTTTTCCTGTAAAACCGTGTCATACCTTTTGTATTTTTGTACTACTTTGATTTCTTATTTCTCTCCTTGATCTGCAGATTTTACCTTATGATAAACTTGTACAGAACTGTATACCATAGAAACTGATAGTCAACAAAATCCAGCTTTTTGTCAGTCCAGTGATTTTTTTTTTCTTCTTAGGTTCCAGACCAGGATTCTGTAGGGCCAGTGACTTTCCTTTTTCTTAGTTTAATTATTCAAATAACTCAGCATGGGCCAGTGATTTTTCTATCAGTATTACATCCTCAGGAAGCTTTAACTCAATATCCCAGTACATTTGATCATCAATATCAGTATTATAAGATTTATGTAGATAAGGTAGTTGGATGAACAATACTAGTGTTACACCATATCACAGTATGGTAGTAGATGTAACCTGAAAAGTCAGAGTTGATAGATTCTAGCACATTACTAGAATCCCACTTAGTCATTAACAGTTGGTCTGGGCTGGGCATGGTGGCTCACGCCTGTAATCCCAGCACTTTGGGAGGCCAAGGCGTGCGTATCACGAGGTCAGGAGATCGAGACCATCCTGGCTAACACAGTGAAACCCCGTCTCTACTAAAAATACAAAAAATTAGCCAGATGTGGTGGTGGGCGCCTGTAGTCCCAGCTACTTGGGAGGCTGAGGCAGGAGAATGGCGAGAACCCGGGAGGCAGAGCTTGCAGTGAGCCAAGATCGCGCCACTGCACTCCAGCCTGAGCTACAGAGCGAGACTCTGTCTCAAAAAAAAAACAACAGTTGGTCTGGTTCATCATCATATTGTATGACGAAATGTCTCCCAGAGCAGTGTCATTCTTCGAAGCTTACCAGCTCCCATTTAACCTAGTCAGGTTTCAAGAGGAGGGGTGGTCTTGGCAAACCTATTGCTTCACCCTTCCAGGCATCTGTTATAACTGAGCCAAGAGACAATGTCATCTCTTGGCCTTCAGCCTTTCTTGAGGCATCACTGCTTTTTTTTTTTGCTTTTTTTTTTTTTTTGAGAGCATCGTCTAGCTGTCCCCAGGCTAGAATGCAGTGGTGTGATCTCAGCTCACTGCAACCTCTGCCTCCTGGGCTCAAGGGATTTTCCTACTTCAGCCTGCTAATAGCTGGGACTACAGGTGTGCGCCACCATGCCTGGCTAATTTTTGTATTTTTTGTAGAGACAAGGTTTCATCATGTTGCACAGACTGGTCTTGAACTCCTGAGCTTGTGATCTGCCTGCCTCAGCCTCCCAAAGTGCTGAGATTACAGGCATGAGTGACAGCCCCCAGTTTAGGCACCAATGTTAATACTGAATTTTCCTTCTTACGTTACTCATTTTTTCATTTTTTTTTCCCTCTTTTACTGTTTCTCCTTTCCATTTGTCGTTATTTTTAAAAATTTTATATTTATTCTTTGTCATTGATTTTTATTCAGACTTTTCCACCTTTGGAAGGGATATTAGATGGAAGGGATGGTCCAGCAAAGTTAACTCTTTACTGTACCACTCAGTACTCTACTTCTTAAAGTCTGTGCATGTTACTGAATATGTATTTAGTTTTTTGCTCCTAACTACTGCATGATATTTCACAGAATCATATGTCATGTTTTACTTTTTCAGTTCTGGGAAGTCATTGCTGATCTTTGAAAGAACAATTTCAGTTTCAATAAGCACCATATTACTTAATTATTTCTTAACCACCCCCTTCCCCTGCCCTTTTTTTTTTTTTTTTGTAACAGAGTTTCACTCTTGTTGCCCAGGCTGGAGTGCAATGGCGTGATCTTGGCTCACTGCAACCTCCGCCTCCTGGGTTCAAGCGGTTCTCCTGCCTCAGCCTCTCAAGTAGCTGGGATTACGGGCATGCACCACCATGCCCAGCTAATTTTGTACTTTTAGTAGAGACAGGGTTTCTCCATGTTGGTCAGGCTGGTCTTGAACTCCCAACCTCAGGTGATCTGCCCGCCTCGGCCTCCCAAAGTGCTAGGATTATAGGAGTGAGCCACCACGCCCAAGCTTAACCCCTTATAATGAGAAAATAGAACAAAAAAGCTTCCCTGAAAAAGTTTGATGGTTCAGATGGTTCAGAGTGTCTTAAGGGGAATGGAGAATGATGAAATAGAAGGAACCATTGTAGATAAATAAATTATAAAAACAAGAGCAAAGATAATTTTGATATGTTTAGCTTTGAGAAAGCATAAATTTAGAAGTACATATGGAAATGTTAACCTTAGGAAATGGTATGGACATTTTCTTTGAAGTGAATGAAAGAAATGTGTGAAGGTAAGTTATGAGATGGAGAAATGTTAGAGGAAGTTGAGTACTGATGGACTTTTTATTCAAAGGAAACCTCTTCTCTTCTGAGACTTAAAGGTGAAGGTAATGTTTGAGAAGTTGGAAAGTGAAAAAAAAATTTAAAGTTGCAGCTGTAAGGGATGACGATAGGATTATGGAATAGAGAATTTTTATTGAAAAACCCTATCTATAGTGTAGATTTATTGTGAATCCATACAGCAGAGTTCATTGGCTATCTTTGAGATGGTTATAATCAGATTGTGTTGTAGCAATACAATCCTAAAATTTCAATGGCTTGTGACAACAAAAGTTGATTTCTCCTTAATGCTGTTTGACCAATAGGGGAAGGGGCCCTGCTCATGTGAGTCATTCAGGGACCAAGCTGGAAGAGAATTCATTTTATTTTATTTTATTTTTTTATTTTATTTTTTGAGACAGAGTCTTGCTCTGTCTCCCAGGCTGGAGTGCAGTGGTGCAATCTCAGCTTACTGCAGCCTCCACCTTCCAGGCTCCACCTTCCAGGTTCAAGTGATTCTCCTGCCTCAGCCACCTGAGTAGCTGAGATTACAGGCATATGCCACCACACCTTGCTAATTTTTGTATTTTTAGTAGAGACGGGGTTTCACCATGTTGCCCAGGCTGATTTTGAACCCCTGACCTCAAGTGACCCGCCTGCCTCAGCCACCTAAAGTGCTGGGATTACAGGCGTGAGCCACCGTGCCTGGCTAGTCGTAGTGACAACATAGTGAGACACTGTCTCCACAAAAAGTAAAAGTGTTAGCTAGGTGTGGTGGCACATGCCTGTAGTCTCAGCCACTTGGGAGGCTGAGGCAGGAGGATCACTCGAGCCCAGGAGTTTAGTGTCACAGTGAGCTGTGATCGCACCGCTGCACCCCAGCCTAGGCAACAGAGTTAGATCCTGTTTCTATTAAAAATAATAATAAATTAGTAGTGACTATTACTAATATTTATTCTTTGCAAGATATTTTACTTAAATTCAGTGGTCAGGGATTTGCTTTCCAAAATTTTGAATTCTTTTGTATTTTAAGGTAATTAGCTGTATACTTGGATATTTTTAGGTTCAAGGTAAAGACCCATCAGTGGAAGTCACACAGGACCTCATTGATGAATCTGAAGAAGAACGATTTGAAGAAATGCCTGAAACTAGTCATCTGATTGACCTGCCCACATGTGAACTCAATAAACTTGAAGAGATTGCTGACTTAGTTACCTCAGTGCTCTCCTCACCTATCCGTAGGGAAAAGCTGGCTCTCGCCTTGGAAAATGAAGGCTATATTAAAAAACTACTGCAGCTGTTCCAAGCTTGTGAGAACCTAGAAAACACTGAAGGCTTACACCATTTGTATGAAATTATTAGAGGAATCTTATTCCTAAATAAGGCAACTCTTTTTGAGGTAATGTTTTCTGATGAGTGTATCATGGATGTCGTGGGATGCCTTGAATATGACCCTGCTTTGGCTCAGCCAAAAAGACATAGAGAATTCTTGACCAAAACTGCAAAGTTTAAGGAAGTTATACCAATAACAGACTCTGAACTAAGGCAAAAAATACATCAGACTTACAGGGTACAGTACATTCAGGACATCATTTTGCCCACACCATCTGTTTTTGAAGAGAATTTTCTTTCTACTCTTACGTCTTTTATTTTCTTCAACAAAGTTGAGATAGTCAGCATGTTGCAGGTAAGTAAAAAGATATTCTTCACAATTCCATTTTTCAGATACTTAGTTCCCTTAATAGTTCAAGCTGGTGTTTTTACCCTCTGTTTTTTGAAAGATTTATTTTGTTTAAATGCATTATTAAGTATATTTAAAGTAAGCAAAAGAAATTAGGACTTTATATCTTGTGGTTTTAGTGCAACCTTTTATTTGTTTGTTTTTTTGAATTGGAGTCTCATTCTGTCACCCAGGCTGGAATGCAGTGGCACAATCTTGGCTCACTGCAACCTGCGCCTCCCGGGTTCAAACAATTCTTCTTCCTCAGCCTCCCAATTAGCTGGGACTACAGGTGTGCGCCACCATGCCCAGCTGATTTTTTGTATTTTTAGTAGAGAAGGGGTTTCACTGTGTTGCCCAGGCTGGTGTCGAACTCCTGAGCTCAGGCAATCCGCCTGCCTCAGCCTCCTAAAGTGCTGGGATTATAGGTGTGAGCCACCGTGCCTGGCCCAGCCTTTTATATTTTTAAGTGGTCTATGTTTCAGCTTTTTATAAAATATAATATTTGTGTTTGTAAAATTCAGGTAGAATATATATAACATAAAATTCACTGTTTTAACTATTTATTTATTTATTTTTTGAGATGGAGTTTTGCTCTTGTTGCCCAAGCTGGAGTGCAATGACATGATCTCTGCTCACTACAACCTCCGCCTCTTGGCAGAGAGAAGTGATTCTCCTGTCTCAGCCTCCTGAGTAGCTGGGATTACAGGCATGCGCCAGCACGCCCAGCTAATTTTTTTTGTTGTTGGTTTTTTTTTGAGATGGAGTCTTGCTCTATAGCCCAGGCTGGAGTGCAATGGTGTGCTCTTGGCTCACTGCAAACTCCGCCTCCGGGGTTCAGGCCATTCTCCTGCCTCAGCTTCCTGAGTAGCTGGGACTGCAGGCGCCTGCCACCGCCCCAGGCTAATTTTTTGTGTTTTTGGTGGAGATGGGGTTTCACCGTGTTAGCCAGGATGGTCTCGATCTCCTGATCTTGTGATCCACCCGCCTCGGCCTCCCAAAGTGCTGGGATTACAGGCATGAGCCACCGCGCCCGGCCCAATTTTTTGTATTTTTAGTAGAGGGGGATTTCTCCATGTTGGTCAGGCTGGTCTCGAATTCCCGACCTGAGGTGATCCACCCACCTCGGCCTCCCTAAGTACTGGGATTACAGGCGTCAGCCACTGTACCCAGCCAGTTTTAACAATTTTTAAATGTACAATTCATTGACATTAAGTATATTCGCAGTGTTATGCAACAGTCACCACTATCCATTTACAGAACTTTTTCATCATCCCAAACAGAAACTCAACCCATTGAACAGTAACTACCCATATTCCCTCTTTCCAGCTCTTGGTAATCACTATTCTACTCTTTATGAATTTGTTTATTATATATATCGATGATGCAGCTATTTATTATTATTATTATTGTTATTATTTTGAGACGGAGTTTCACTCTTGTTGCCCAAGCTGGAGTGCAGTGGTGTGATTTTGGCTCATTGCAACCTCCATCTTCTGGGTTCAAGTGATTCTCCTGCCTCAGCCTCCCCAGTAGCTGGGATTACAGGTGTGTGCCACCACGCTCAACTAATTTTTTTGTATTTTTAGTAGAAACAGGGTTTCACCATGTTGGCCAGGCTGGTCTCAAACTCCTGACCTCAGGTGATCCACCCTCCTTGGCCTCCCAAAGTGCTGGAATTATAGGTGTGAGCCGCCGCACCTGGCTGATGCAGCTATATTTAACGTTTTTCCTGTCTGTCCCGCGAATACTCACCAATAATGCTTGGCTGCAGCATTTACCCTGAGACAGCTTTGCCACAAAATACCTAGCTTTTATTATTATTTTCGCATTGCTGTGGTATATTAATTCTAGAAAACATAGCATTCCTGCCCATGATATTAATGTCGTTCTCAAACATTTGTTGGCCAAAGATTCATTTGATGAATCTGATTTTTTTTTAAATAGACGATTTTGATGATTCAAACAATTCTGATGTTAGTTCTGTTTAGAAGTAACTCCAGGAACAGTTTTTATATTTTATTTTCACATTGAAAATCAGATTTGCTTCAGCCTCAAAGAGCGTGTTTATGTAAAATGAAATGAGTGCTGGCAGCAAGTTGCACTCTTTTTTTCTAATTGGGGAAAGGGTTAAAAGTATCTTTTCTTCCATTTTGAGAGATACTGTTATTATTGGGGTGTATATGAGTATGTGGCTATTTGCTATAAGAAGGTGATTTTATTCTGTCTCACTGAGTTGTGAAATAGGAGCTTTATACTATATTTATCATGTTAATCCTTTACACCCTAACAGTATAAAAAGCATGCTTTTAAAGTACTTGTAATGGTAGACTATACTAAGCTTTCTGCATAACTGCTTTTGTTATTTCCATATCAATCACTAAGTTTATTGAGCAGCTACTATATACTTAGTGTTATGGATCTCAGAGTGTGGTTTGTGGACCTCTGAAAGTCCCTGAGACCCTCTTGGAGGCATTTATGAGGTTTTCCTTTTTCTAGTTTGATGTCAGTGTGAGGCTGTGTGTTTTTTTTTCATGTACTTTTGCCTAAAGAACATATTGCAACAAATTGAATGACAAAAAAGATAAATGAGTATCTAGTTGTCTTCTGTTAAGCCAGATATTGAGATTTGCAAAAATGTAAAAGGGGCTACTCTTTTTACTGAAAGTTTAAAATTTTGGATCATATAGCCGTTTCTCTTAAAACATTTATATAAACATAAAATAACTTATTTTAAAAAATGAATTCATAAATATTTTCACAAGTCTTGGTTTTAATTGTAATTATGGTAAATATTGATGAACATAACGTGCATAATGAAAGCTCTTCAGGGTCCTCCATAATTTTTTAAAATTCATTTTATTTTTTATATAGAGACAGGATCTGACTGTATTGCCCAGGCTGGTCTCAAACTCCTGGCCTCAAGTGATCCTCCTCACCCTCCCAAAGTGCTGAGATTATAGGTGTGAGCCACTGTACCCAGCCTCTACATAATTCTTAAGAGTTTAGGCCAGGTGTGGTGGCTCATGCCTGTAATCCCAGCACTTTGGAAGGCCACGGCAGGAGGATCACTTGTGGTCAGGAGTTTGAGACCAGCCTGACCAACATGGCGAAACTCCATCTCTACTAAAAATACAAAAATTAGCCAGGCATGGTGGCACGTGCCTGTAATCCCAGCTACTCAGGAGGCTGAAGTGGGAGAATTGCTTGAACCCAGGTGGCGGAGGTTACAGTGAGCTGAGATTGCACTACTGTACTCCAGCCAGGGTGACAGAGCGAGACTATCTGAAAAAAAAAAAAAAAGAGTTTAAAAGGGTCCTGATACAAGTAATTGAATTCTGTCTCTGACTTAGTGCCAGCTAATAGACTTCATTTTGTGACATTTCCCACCAATAGCCACCTATTATTGTTCCTTTATTTTTTTATGTAGGATTTACTTTTCTTTCAGATCATTTATTCACCTACCAATTTTTTGTTATTCCCCAATAATGAGTGTGGGGAAGGTTAGATGTACACATCAGGTTCTTTTTATAATATATAGGACCTGTTTATTTTTAAACCATAGTATACAATTCAGGGTGCTATTTCACTTGTTGACAGAAAAACGTTTAATAATCTTAGGAGATTGGAAATAGAGTCACAGTCTGTAGTTGATAAAAAGGGGACCCAGTAACAGAAGCTCAAATGTAGCTTTCACATGACTGTTCTTGTCTTCAGAAGGGTTTCCAAATTCATAATAGTAAATTGTAAATACTTTTATATATTCAGAAAATAAATTATATAAACTATAAATATTTGTAAACCTTTGTATGTCATTTTATGTATTTTACAATAGGTTTATTTGTGAAGGCTATAATTACGTAAATCAAGTGCAGCTTTTTCTTTTCCTAAAAGAAGACTTAATCATTTCTGCTTCATGAGATGCATTTCATGAAATAGCCAGATTCTGTGAACTGTTATTTACGTAAGGTTTACTACTTAATTATCTCTTATGTGCCAGCAAAGATGTTGATTTTTTTTTTTTTTTTTTTTAGATTCAGAGGGTACTTTGTTACATGGGTATTGCATGAGTAATGGTGGAGATTGGGCTTCTAGTGTGCCTATCACTCAGATGTTGAACACGGTGCCCAGTAGATAATTTTTAAACCTTCATTCCCCTCCCATCCTACCCCTTTTTGGAGTTCCTAGTGTCTGTTATCTCCATCTTAATGTCCATGTGTACCCACTTGTAAGTGAGAACGTGCACTGTATGATATTCTGCTTCTGAGTTCACTTAGGATAATGGCCTCCAGCTCCATTCACGTTGCTACAAAAGACATGATTTCATTCTTTTTTAACATGTCGTTTGTATTCCACAGTATGTATATACACCCCATTTTGTTTAATCATCTTTTGGTAGACACTTAGGTGGGTTCCATGACTTTGCTATCGTGAATAGTGCTGCGATCAACATACAAGTGCAAGTGTCTTTTTAATATAATACATTTTTTTCCTTTGGGTATGAATTGTGTTTTCAACTCTGTGTGAAAAGGAAAGAAATAAGATTGTGGCCAGTGGTCTCTATTTTATTTTATTTTTTGTAGAGGTGGGGGTTTTGCTATGTTGCCTAAACTGTTCTTAACTGGCCTCAAGCAATCCTGGTGCCCATGCTTCAAAAGTGTTGGGATAACAGGCGTGAACCACCATACCTGGCCCTGCAGTGGCCTCTAAGCCCTTATTTCCTAAAGTCTCACTCTGAGATTTCCATGTAGAAATTTTTGGCTAGGTAGTAGGTGTTTCCAGATACCTATCTGGCTATCTAGTACACTCACTTGTAGTTTCTTTTTTTTTTTTTTTGAAATGGAGTCTCGCTCTGTCCCCCAGGCTGGATTGCAGTGGCATGATCTCGGCTCACTGCAAGCTCCACCTCCCGGGTTCACGCCATTCTCCTGCCTCAGCCTCCCGAGTAGCTGGGACTACAGGCACCCACCACTAGCCCAGCTAATTTTTTGTGTTTTTAGTAGAGACGGGGTTTCACCGCGTTAGCCAGGATGGTCTCAATCTCCTGACCTCGTGATCCGCCTGCCTCAGCCTCCCAAGGTGTTGGGATTACAGGAGTGAGCCACCACACCTGGCCACCTGTGGTTTCTTAAATGAGCATTAACTTGCTGCTGTGTGAGTTGTAGAAGGCAAGTGAATATGTAAGAATTTTATGTAACTGGGCCAAAGTGAGGTAGTACAAAGGTCCTTATAAATCCTAGCCTAAATTAGGTTAATTAACTGTTGCATTATATGGAAGTACTTAGCATAGTCACTGGCTCCTAGTATGTGTGCTAATACATGTTGACAATGTCTTAAGCATGATAGGGACAGAAGACTTTTGCGACTCTGAATTTTCTACCTAATTGCAGATCAAAATCCCCTGAGCCCAGAATTGAGCAACATTCTTTTAAAATGTTTTAGTAATTAATTTTTTTTTTTTTTTTTGAGACAGTCTCCCTCTGTCGCCCAGGCTGGAGTGCAGTGGCGCCATCTTGGCTCACTGCAGCCTCTGCCTCCCAGGTTCAAGTGATTCTCAAGCTTCAGCCTCCCCGGAAGCTGGGATAACAGGCAGCAGCCACCACGCCTGGCTAATTTTTGTATTTTTAGTATAGACAGAGTTTCACTGTGTTGGCCAGGCTGGTCTCTAACTCCCAACCTCAGGTGGTCCGCCCGCCTCAGCCTCCCAGAGTGCTGGGATTACAGGCATGAGCCACTGCCCCCAGCCAGAAATTAAATTTTTGAAAGCAAATAAAGTGAGGTTGTTTCTGCACAAACAGCTACAGAATAAGATCCTTTTCAGAACAGAATGTTTTAATTTCTCTCCTTACTAGAAATGATAGAGGACAGAAATCTCAAATGTTGACATTTTAACACATTTACATATATTATGTTATATACATATTTGTGCTATTCCATAGGTAAGAGTTAAGCTTAGAATTAGCCCAGCAGGATCAGCGGTTTAGTTTTCCTTTTAACATATTTTACAGATACTAAGGTTTTGGCACCAAGAGAGAAAAATTTCTAACTTTCCATCCCAGTTACAAATTAAATATGTAAAATCTTCAAATACTCTTTGAAAGACTGTTTAGAGTAATAGGGCTTTTCATTTTGTTTTTAGGATTTTTCTTTGGATTCAAGTACAGGATTTAATATATTAAATTTTATCTTACTAGATTTGGCCCATTCCAGCTTGTGTGTGTATCTTTTGCTTTGATTTGATTCATAAGTTTGATTCAACCTCAAACTTATGTTTGAAGTTTGAAATACTTAGGAACCTGTCCTGTGGTTTACCTAGTAGGAGTGACAAAAACTTCATTAATTATTTAGGAGGCCTGGATTCTAAATCCATCTGTCACTAACTACCCTCAGAAAAATTCACTTTTTGGACCTCAGTCTCTTGAAATTTAAAATTGCACTTGACAGTCTCTGTAACAATGTTGCAAAATCTGATCTAATTCTAAGTTTCTGTGTTTATATGTTTCTAAAAATGAATGGGTTCTATTTTTTCTTTTGTTTGCCCTGTATTTATATTACTGCAAAGAAAAGAGTTTGATTTAGACTGTTTAGAAGCAACCTCTTTTTTTCCCCACAGTGTTTTTTTTATGTTATCCAGAAAAGCAGCCACACAAATTTTGACTTAAATATATAGGTTTTATTAAAACAAGAGCTGTTAAAACCAAATAGAAAAGAAAAACTAAAGAGATTAGTTTGATTACTTGGAGAACCAGAGATTTTGGAGTAAGTATTTCAACTATATGATAGGCTTTAAGTTATTGATTATTTGCTTCCTTCATAAATATATTGGAACAGAGTGCTTTTATAGCTTAATGAATAATAGCAAGAGTAATGCTGGAAATCAGGAAAAAATACTAGGAATCCACATTCTCTTAATGGACTGTAATAATTGAGATTGCTTCTATCTGTAATATTTTATGCAGTTCTACTTATCAGCTCACAAGTACCGAATCATATAAGAAGAATTCAAGTGGGAAATTGCATTTATCAAGGAGTTGGAACTTTTTTCTTATGAAAATATTTTGAAAAAGTTAAATTTTCAGGTAGTAAAGGATGAAGATGTAATCTACAACAGATGCAGGAAAATAGAAATTTATAAAAGGTGTGAATGGAGGTAAATATGTACTTACTCACCCTAACCTAAAATATTGAGACTAAAAGTATTTGGAAAAAGTAGGCTGGGCATGGTGGCTCATGGCTGTAGTCCTGGCACTTTGGGAGGCTGAGGTGGGAGGATTGCTTGAGGCCAGGAGTTCGATACCAGCCTGGGCAACAAAGTGAACCACCCCCCATCTCTACAAACAGTTTAAAAAATTAGGCAGGTGTGGTGGCACGTGCCCACGGTCTCTGTTACATGGGAGTCTGAGGGAGGAAGATTACTTGAGTCCAGGAGGTCCAGGCTACAGTGAGCCATGTTTGTACCACTGCACTCCAGCCTGGGCAACAGAGTGAGACTCAAGAAAAAGAAAAAGGAAAAAGTAACTTAAGGGCTAAATAAAAGATTACATATGCATATAAACTCCCTCAAAAGATGGATGTTCAGGCTGCAATGCATAAGGTCCAAAAGGAGTCAATGAAATACCAAAGGAAACACCATTCTGAGTCAAACTAAATGATTTATCTACCAGTGTCTTGTCTTTAAGTAGCACCAATTGATTTTTAGTGGAATAGCATGTTATACTCTGATTGTATGTAGTGGTTTCTATTCATTTTTTAAAAATATATGTTCCACCTTATTTCAAAAAGGACTTAAGGGATTGATACCACTTAATGTATGATCCTCAGTAAGAAAAAGGACAGGTAGTTGGGGGTGTATCCTTTAAATGTTAGGGTTTTATTTTACTATCAACTCTACAGATATTATTGTTATAAACTTTTTTAGAACAAGTTACTTTAATGGAAATTACGTTTCATAAAAATGAATTTTGAAGATAACTGAAGCTTAAAACCACCAATAATTTCCATCAATTTTTTAGCAGATTTTGATGAAATCTCTAAGGTGAATTTTAATATTTATGCCCATTTTTTCTTTTGTAATTTAATAGTCTTTGTAGAAAATTAGAAAATATAGATAACCAAAAAAGAAAATCACTCATAACCTATCACCAAGCAATAACCATAGTTAACATTCTAACGTGTACTCCTTCTAGACTTTAGACACACAAATTTATTTATGATTATTATTATTATTTTGTTGTTGTTGTTGTTGTTGTTGAGTTGTTGCCCAGGCTGGAGTGCAATGGTACAGTCTCGGCTCACCGCAACCTCTGCCTCCCAGGTTCAAGCGATTCTCCTGTCTCAGCCTCCCTAGTAGCTGGGATTACAGGCATGTGCCACCACGCCCGGCTAGTTTTGTATTCTTAGTAGAGATGGGGTTACTCCATGTTGGTCAGGCTGGTCTCAAACTCCCGACCTCAGGTGATCCACCCGCCTCAGCCTTCCAAAGTGCTGGAATTGCAGGCGTGAGCCACCGCACCCAGCCCACAAATTTATTTTTTAAAAGTACATGCTTGACTAAATTTTTCTGTTTGTCCTTTTAAACAACGCCTGGAGAAATTAGCACTTGTCTTTCTTTTTAATACCTCAGAGTCATTAGTATGAAAAGCAGTTATTGTAGTGTTTTGTCATTTAGTTATATCCTTGGGGACCACAAGAACGTGTAAGACTCTGCACTAGTTGTAGGTTACTGTATTTTATGAGTTCTTGTATTTTAAATAGCTTTGTAACTTTATCTGCTGCCAGAATTCAGCCTCCTTTATTGTTTTCCTTATTCCTTGTCTTATAATTCTTCTGTTTTTCTAATCTGTTATGGACTAACAATAAGATCCTTAGACTTGTTTGAATTATGTTTAAATTAAGAGAAAGTAGACCCTGAAAGGGGGCTAGAGAATCTAAATTCAGTGAGTTTTCACATAACACCTCTAGAACAAATATTTTTGGTTTCCAAAGAGTTATTTGTAGTTGAGGTTTTTAGTTAAAGTAGATATTGATGTATTTATAACAAGAATTGAATGGTGTAGTCAAATTTTACAAAATTTTAACACACAAATATACCCCAGAATATTAGGTTTCATAATGAAAATGCTACTTGTCAGCTATTTTTTATAATTTGTGTAAGTCATATAAATGAGTATAACCTTATCTTTTTGTTAATATTTCATAGTAATTATTTTTTTCATGCAGGAAGATGAGAAGTTTTTGTCTGAAGTTTTTGCACAATTAACAGATGAGGCTACAGATGATGATAAACGGCGTGAATTGGTAAGTTATGAAATTCAAACTCTTATAGAGCACTTATTCTTTTGACATGCACAGCTTTTAATCTTGAATTTGCTAACTTGAGACAATTTTTTGTAATTAGATTAGTAAGAGATAAAAAGTGTGTATTTAAATTGAACTACAAAATGATTATTCAGAGTTTCTAAAATTTGTTTGTTTCTAGAATTTGTATATTTTAGAAAATTCTTAGGATGCTCTGATGTATCACCCCCCACTATTGTATGCCTTATAAATCCCCAAACCAGATAAGTGCCTTATGTTAGAACACAACTACAAAACTCAGACGTTTTTATAGTTGCAGAAGTTTACATTATAGCGATGCTTCTTTTTTTCTTTTTTTTTTTTTTTTGAGACAGAGTTTCACTCTTGTTGCCCAGGCTGGAGTGCAATGGTGCGATCTCGGCTGACCGCAACCTCTGCCTCCCAGGTTCAAGTGATTCTCCTGCCTCAGCTTCCCGAGTAGCTGGGATTACAGACATGCGTCACCACGCCCAGCTAATTTTGTATTTTTAGTAGAGACGGAGTTTCTCCATGTTGGTCAGGCTGGTCTCGAACTCCTGACCTGAGGTGATCCGCCCGCCTCAGCCTCCCAAAGTGCTGGGATTACAGGCATGAGCCACTGCGCCCAGCCACGATGCTTTTCTTTTTAAACAAGAGATAAGGAAAATGCTTCCTGAATAAATGATGTAAATAATTTGGTTCTTTGGAAATTTTTTGTTTTTTATTATAAGCATTTTCTTTGAGATATAAACCATTTTGAGGAAGAGAATAGTGATTGCCGTTTGCCAGATGTTTGACATTTTTTTCAAATATAATGAGATGAGAAGGGAAAGTATATATTATAGTAATGCATATTCAGTTCTATAATTTAGCTATCTGATATTGAATTACTAAAATAATATCTTCAGTTTCAGATTTTTATTTATTGGGATTTCACAAAATAATGAAAGATGGCTGATTTAAAACCTGTAAGTCATCTTTAGTGTAGTTACTAGTAACCTACTTAGTTTTCTCAATTGTAATAGTGGTGTTTTAGACTAGGGAAGCTTTGATGTACATTTCAGTCCTTAAACCAGTATTATGTTTTTGGGAGATTACTGGGGACCCAGCTAGAGTTGAGTTACAGGATGGTTTCTGTGAAAATATGTGTTCATAATTCAAAACAAATTTCTTACCTGGCATTTTTGCACTGAATGTCTTTAAAGAGTTAATTGGTCAATGTTAACCTTCTGAAAGATCTCATCTTTTTTTATTTTTTCTTTTTGAAAAAGAGTCTTGCTCTTTTGCCCAGGCTGGAGTGCAGTGGCACGATTTCAACTCACTGCAACCTCTGCCACCTGGGTTCAAGTGATTCTCGTGCCTCAGCCTCCCGAGTAGCTGTGATTACAGGCACATGCCACCATGCCCAGCTAATTTTTGTATTTTTAGTAGAGACAGAGTTTCACCTGTTGGTCAGGCTGGTCTCAAACCCCTGGAATCAAGTGATCCACCTGCCTCAGCCTCCCAAAGTGTTGGGATTACAGGCGCGAGCCACTATGCCCCGCCAGATGTCATCTTTTCAGAGTAGCCTGGTGCCTCACAACTGATATTTAAAAACATATTAAAAATTAGCACCCCATTAAAAGTATATCTTGCATTTTTGCGTACTAATAGATCAATAGGCAAATCCAGCATCTTAAACAAAGTATGCATACTCTCATTTGCCTTTTATCACCAAATATCTCTGTTGACCTATAAGGTCCCAATGGAGTAAGAAAAATGTTCTAATAACATATTTCAAAGGTTCACTTAGAAAGATGTGTTGTCAAACACTGCTATTCACTGGAAAAAAAAAGAAAAAAGCAGCTTGTGATGCATCTTTCAGAAAGCCAGCTTACATTTACCTTTTATTGGTGGATTTCTCTTTCTGCTTAACAGCGTCCAGTAATGCAAGTTTTACTTTTAATGGGGTGCTAATTTTTAGTTTGTTTTTAATGTAGTTTTGAGGAGCCAGGAAACTCCAAAAAAGATGAGATCCTTCAGAAGGGTGAATACCACACCATGGTAGATTATTACTATAGTGTGCCCCAAGTTTATGTTTATCAACGTCTCACTAAAATTTCTAACATTACAGGTTAATTTTTTCAAGGAATTTTGTGCGTTTTCTCAGACATTACAACCTCAAAACAGGGATGCATTTTTCAAAACATTGGCAAAATTGGGAATTCTTCCTGCTCTTGAAATTGTAATGGTAATTATGCCGTTTCTTTTCATGTTTTTGAAGTTGTAAATTTGTAATAGACTTATATTATGGATGAGAAACTATATATTATAATAATGTATATTCAGTTCTATAGTTTAGCTATCTTATATTGAATTACTACAAGAATATCTTCAGTTTCAGATTTTTATTTAATTTTAAATATCAGTATGTAATCACTTGCATATAGTATGCTTTCAAGTGAGTAAAAAAACCCACGTTTTTGCAAGAATGTTCTTTTCTGTAACAGTATTGTGTTTCATAGAAGCCAGTAAAATATCTTTTGTTTTTAGATCAGTGAGTGGAATGAGGACAGACTGAAACAAGGGGATTCATGCTGCAACACAGGGTTAGGGCATAATTCTTAGACTTTTGTTTATATGAGTTTTACCCATTGGTATTTACTTTATGGAAAATTAAAACAAATTTTTAAAGTATTCGTTTAAAAATGATAACCCATTATATGTTAACAAAAATAATAGAACTTTTTTCACCACATTTTCTTGAGATTGAAATCAATATAACTTTTATGAAAAAATAATTTTTTCAAAACAAAAAATTTAGTGAAAAGAGTACCATTTTTTACTTTTTTTTTTTTCTGCTAATCTCTCTAATACCTTGCTTTATAGAAGGTGTCTAGATTCACAAAGCAGCTTCTACATTTAATTTGTGGTGATATGATATGTCACGCAGCCTCTGGAAAACCCCACTGTACTTGTGATTGAATGAGAGTGAAAATGACAAAGGCTTAGTATTATTTATTATTATGAAATAGTCTTAATCTTGTATACTTCCTAAAAGGATGTTAGACCCCTCTCACCAGGATTCCCTGGACCACACTTTTGAGAACTGCTGGGTTGGGGAGTGTTTTCAGAATCACCTCAAGATTTTGTAACTTATAAGTCACATACTCTTCATGTGTTGGAGGGGAAAAGTATTTAGGGTTACTACCTTAGAAAACTAAGTTGCACAAAAGGGTAGAAATGCCCAAAAAGAGTTTTCAAAAGCATGCTCTATTAGGTGAGTCACAGAAAATAGAAACAGTTACTAAGGGTAACCTTGGCAAATTCAGGACAAAAGGCAGATTCTGGAAGACTTTGAAATCTTGGCTAGGAGACATTATTCAAATTTTTACATATATTTAAATAAAACCCCTTCCCATATATTTTACAGCATTTGTAAAGCATTGCCTTATAATCCTGTGCCAATTCTTATATTTAAAATCTCTGAATATTTATTTGCAGTGGTAAAAATCTGTAGAAACTGATCATTGAATTGCCTAAAAGTTTTAATATTTATAAAAGAAAGGAAGACCATACTGGCGAGGTTATGCATATTGATTGCAGTAAAACATCTTAATCCAAAAAGTTGAGAGCTAGTGTATGGATTTGGGAAAGAAAAAAGAAATGTGAGAATAACTTTTGTTAACAGTCTCTTAAGTAACCTGATTTTCCTTTTATCAGGGCATGGATGATTTGCAAGTCAGATCAGCTGCTACAGATATATTTTCTTATCTAGTAGAATTTAGTCCATCTATGGTCCGAGAATTTGTAATGCAAGAAGCTCAGCAGAGTGATGACGTAAGTAATAATGCTGTGGTTCTGTGTGAATTACCTGTAGAGTAAGGGGTGTTTGCAAACTATTGAGAGAAAAAACATAACATAATCTTAATCTTTCTTGGAAATAAAATATTAGATTTCTGACTAGTTGTGACTTTGGCCAAATTAGAATATGTGGCAACTGATTTTGTTTATTGTTAAAAAAAACAAAAAACAAACAAAAAAAACCCCCAGATATTCAAACCAGTATTGAGATAAACAGGTTATAATAGAATCAGATTTGTAAATATTGGTCTTAAATTTCAAGTGTTAATAAAATGTAATTTCAAGCCTTAGGAGATTTACAGGTCAGGTACTTACCTAGGATACCTAAAAAGTTGCTTTTGTTTGTTCAAAGAATATGTTTTAAGTAGGAATTAAAGTTTAATAATGACTGGATGAGATTAGAGACTATTTTTCTAAGTGAAGTAATTCAGGAATAGAAAACCAAACATCATATGTTCTCAACTTACAAGTGGGAGCTAAGCTATGAGGATGCAAAGGCATAACAATGACACAGTGGACTTTGGGGACTCAGGGAAAGGGTGGGAAGGGGGTGAAGGATAAAAAGCTACAAATAGGGTGCAGTGTATACTGCTTGGGTGATGGGTGCACCAAAATCTCACAAATCGCCACCAAAGAACTTATTCATGTAACCAAACACCACCTGTTCCCCAACCACCTGTGGAAATAAAAGAAATTTAAAAAGGAAGTTTAATAATGAGACCAATATTGTGTTTTCCCACTACTGATATATTTAAATTTTCCCCTTAAGCTATTTTGAGGACCAAATGAACGTAGAGCTATAATTTAAAGTACTTTTTTTTTTACATTAAAAATGCCTTAGTTTTAAGTAGAAGGTAATTATAATTGTCTTCCTTTTTGTTTGTTTGTTTGAGACAGAGGTTCGCTCTTGTTGCTCAGGCTGGAGTGCAATGGCGCATTCTTGGCTCACTGTAACCTCTGTGCACCGCCACGCCTGCCTAATTGTGTATTTTTGGTAGAGACAAGGTTTCACCATGTTGTTCAGGGTGGTCTCGAACTCCTGACCTCAGGTGATCCACCCGTCTCAGCCCCCCAAAGTGCTGGGATTACAGGCATGAGCCACCATGTCTGATCCTCTTCTTAAGGAAAGTTTTTGATTCCCAATTTTAATTTGATGCTTACATGAGTTACTATTGAATTAAATTATAGTTGTTTTATGTGTTTTGTGTTTAATCTTGTAATGTGTCCTTAGCTTTATGCTTTCTATATTTGTTATTTTCAATGTTTTTTAAAGTGATTTTATTTTAGAATCAACTTCGGTTAATGCAGTATAGTCAGTAGAGAAGTAATATTTTGTGTTCTCTCTATATATTTTAAAAATCAAACAATACTAATTCTGACTTTAAAAAGAAATGCCTACTTTATTAATAATTTTATAATCTCATTGGTTTATCTTAATGCCACCCTTTACAAAAGATAACTTTGAAATTTAACACTCCCATTGCTCCATCTTCAGTGATGTGTGTGATTAAAGGCATTTATCATAAAATGACCATGAATCAATCTCAGACCATGATCATAGTAAACTGTTAACTTCAGAATTCTTAACTCTTCAAGCTTTGGTTCCTGTTTTAATTAGAAATATTTCTTGTTTAAGATTGATTTTTTCACTATGAAAAGTTCCTTTCTCAGTGTTTTTTTTTCTTATAACAACCTTCAGGGGGTTTCATTTTCCTGAATTTTCTGAGAGCTAACAATTTTACAATTTTAAAACTGTGTTGCCTCAAAATAATTTAGTCCACAAGAGAAGATAAATCTAATTACAAAAAAAAACCCAAATTAAGTCTTCTTACATGATGAATTCTATACTGGGCTGGTGGTGACCTTTAGGAAGGAAACAGAAAATGACTTATCTGTATATTCAGTGGCAGTTGATATTTTAGTGCCCTTTTAAAATAAATGCTCGGCATTCAAACATTTCCTTTTGGTAAAGTATTATGGAGCAGATTTGATTATGGCAACATGGGTTACAATATTTAAATATGTATTAAGATAAAAAGAAATATTAACATATTTTACTATAGTCATTGTTTCTATCCAAGCAGAAAGAGTAAATTTAGCAATAATGTCGTCTTTTTGTTATGCCACAGATTGCATATATTTTTATATTAATGGCCTTTGAAACATTCAGTAAAACTTAGAGAACCTGACTGGATTTGTTAGGTGTTTTCTCATTTAAGAATAAAATCTCATGTTAATTTTTTAGATATGATAATAACATTTGTGTTATTTTAAAAGAATCCTTATATTTTAAACATTTATGCTGACATATTTATATGGAATTTGCTTCAAACTAAATTCTGTAGTGTAGAGATAAGTTGGTGTATTAAACAAGATTGGTCGTGAATTAATAATTGTTGAAGCTGGGATGGATACATGGGATTTATTGTATTGTCCTCTCTAGTTCTTTATATATCTGAGATTTATCATAAAAAGAAGTTAGGAAATACATAAGTTAATCTCTATAGATTGACCTTTCAGTATTTTGCATTAGGTCACATTTTATTTCTTAAAATTTCTCCAAGTCACAATAATAATAAAACGAACTCCCAGATACCCTTCACATAAATTCCCCAGTTGTGTGTTTTTTTTTTTTTTTTTTGAGACGGAGTCTTCACTCTGTCACCCAGGCTGGAGTGCAGTAGCGCGATCTCGGCTCACTGCAACGTCCGCCTCCCTGGTTCAAGCGATTCTCCTGCCTCAGCCTCCTGAGTAGCTGGGATTACAGGTGCGCATCACCTCGCCCGGCTAATTTTTGTATTTTTAGTAGAGATGGCGTTTCATCATGTTGGTCAGGCTGGTCTCGAACTCCTGACCTCGGGATCCGCCCTCCTCGGCCTCCCAAAGTGCTGGGATTACAGGCGTGAGCCACCGCACCCGCCCCAATTGTTAATATTTTATCTGTCATTTGTTTTGTCATTCTTTCTATGCTTGCATTTGTATAAATACATATGCATACATGGGTGTTATTTTCTTTCTGAACCATTGAGGAATAAGGTGCAGAAATGATGACAAACTGTCCCTTTACCCCTAGTTACTTCACTGTCACCAACTAAAAACTCTTACATTACCACAGTATAATTATCAAAATCATGATATTAAGATTTTTATAATACTATCATCTAACTACAGTACTCATTCATATTTTATTCATTGTCTCAGTAATGTCCATTTTAACCAAGACAGAAACAAAAAGTTTCTGATCTGTTATCCAACAACTTTGGTTGGTCTGTTGTTTCCTCACAATTAGATAGATTCTAGTTACTTCTTTGTGGCAGAAATGGCATAGAAGTATCATTTCCTTCAGTGTGTCCTATCAGGAAATCCCCCCAACTTTTAAAAAAGAATGTGCCAGATGTGGTGGTGGTGCATGCCTGTAATCTCAGCTACTTGGCAGGATGAGGTGGGAGGATCTCTTGAGCCTAGGAGTTCAAGACCAGCATGGACAACATAGCAAGATCCTGCTCAAACAAAACAAAACAAAACGATTGAGTTTTCATTTTTTTCTGTCCAGGCTGTTTGTCATTCCACAGACTTAAGAATTTGGACCATTACGTTCTGTAGAACTTGAGGAGCTACTTATAGTTGCGCTCTTCAAATCAGAATGAGTTGAAAGAAGTATTGGTTTTTATATATGTATGTGTATATACATGTTATATATAGTCATCCCTCAGTATCTGTAGGGGATGGGTTCCAGGAAACCACCTTCCCCTCCCACTGGGACACTAGGATACCTAACTCCACTTATGCTCAAGTCCGTTATATAAAATGGCATAAAATTTGCATATAACCTATGCACATCTTCCCTTATACTTTAGATTATAATACCTGATACAATGCAAATGCTATGTAAATAGTTGTTATACTATATTGTTGAGAGAATAAACATTGTTTAGAGAATAATAACAATAGTAATAAAAGAAAAAATCTGTACATGTTTCGGTATGGATACAACCATTCTTTTTTTTTTTTCCTTTCCCAAGTATTTTTCATCCTTACTTGGTTGAATCCATGAGTATGGAACCTACAGTTGCAGAGGACCAAGTGTATTACACACACACACACACACACACACGTACTTAGAAGCATTCATTAAAGTTGCTGTAAAGCAAATTATGTTAGTGGTTGTTTTTAAGACAGAGTCCTGCTCTGTCACCCAGGCTGAAGTGCAGTGGCACGATCTTGGCTCACTGCAACCTCTGCCTCCTGAGTTCAAGCAATTCTCCCTGCCTCAGCCTCCCAAGTAGCTGGGTTTACAGGTACCCACCACCACACCCAGATAATTTTTTTATATTTTTAGTAGAGATGAGGTTTCACCATGTTGGCCAGGCTGCTCTCGAACTCCTGACCTCAGGCAATCCTCCCGCCTCAGCCTCTCAAATGGCTGGAATTATAGACGTGGGCCATTGCACCCAGCCAATTAATGGACTTTTTATTAAATTCTTGTGTGTTTGTATTAAGCAAACTGGAAATGTTTTCACAACATCCACCAGTTATTTTTACTCTGGTTCAAAATATTCTTGCTCTTGCCATTTCTTCTTTTCTCCTCTTATTTACTGTATCCATCAAACCTAAGATATGCAGATGCTAATATTTCCTTGATCTTACAAGACAGTGTCAGTAAAAGATTTTTATGTAATTTTGTCATGATTACCACTTGGCTGATAGTGACTGTCCAATGCCATCAATTACAAAGTGTATCTTAATTAAGAGGTTAAAATTTTTAAGAAATCTGTTTTAGAATCAATGAAACAAATGTAAACATCTAATTTTATTTATATTTCCCAATCAGAAAATAGAGATGGCAGCTTAGAATCCGGACAGTCTCTACTAAAAATACAAAAATTAGTCAGGCATGGTGGCTCACGCCTTTAATCCCAGCTACTCAAGAGGCTGAGGCAGGAGACTCGTTTGTGAGGTTGCACTGAGCCCAGATTGCCCCACTGCACTCCAGCCTGGGCAAGAGAATAAGACTCCGTTTCAATAAATAAATAAATGAATGAATAAATAAATAAAACCCAAGAGCATGTTACTAATGTAGCAAATCTAGCTGATATTAGATTGTTATATAACACAGTGTCTTCTTGCATGAAGAGTTGTGTACTGGGTTATTTTTGGTCATTTTTTCTGTTTTTTTCTTTTTTTTTTTTTTTGCTAGGAAGGATTTACTAGTTAGAGGCTGAGATAATTTATGTCTTAGGGTCACATGATCTTGTTTGTTTAGTCAACCTCTAAATTTATGCCTGAATCTGAAACTCAAAATGAATAAGAGTTACTGCTAAAGAATTGTTTTCCACTTCCTATAAGATGCAGCATGCTCAGCTTTTGTGGGGTTTTTTTTTCTACTTTTTTTTTTTTTTTTTTTTTTTTTTTTTTTTTTCTGGAGTGGCATTTTTTTCACTCTAGTGTAGTATTTTATAGAACCTTCAAAAGCAGTAGGAATAAAAGTTTAAATAAGCTATTCCATTCTTTGTTTTTTTCTCTATATAATTCTCACTTTGCTCTTTCAGTTGGTGTTTTTGTCTTAAATCTATACCAGGTCTAATGGAAACTTGTTTTGTTTTGTTTTCTTTTGTTTTGTTTTGCCACCAGGATATTCTTCTTATTAATGTGGTAATTGAACAAATGATCTGTGATACTGATCCTGAGCTAGGAGGCGCTGTTCAGTTAATGGGACTTCTTCGTACTCTGATTGATCCAGAGAACATGCTGGCTACAACTAATGTAAGAAATTATTCTGAGATAAAAATGTTTTGACCTAGTCAGTTTTAGGTGGCTTTGTAATAAAATTTTGAGAAACAAGTATTTTAAGTATTTGTCCAGTTGGTATTTAAGTAGCAGTGGATTCTTACAGCAATTCATTTGTGGTAAAATACAAAATTGTAATCTATTAAAATCTTAGTAAAATGTTAAGAATTCCATTTATGGCCCTTGGCCTCTATGTGTTAATTTCTTAAAATTTAATACACAACAGTGTGAATATACTTAACACTACTAAACTGTACACTTAAAAATGATAAAATTATTATTATTATTATTTTGAGATGGAGTCTCACTCTGTCGCCAGGCTGGAGTGCAGTGGCACAATCTTGGCTCACTGCAACCTCTGCCTCTTTGGTTCAAATAATTCTCCTTTCTCAGCCTCCTGAGTAGCTGGGACTACAGATGCATGCCACCACACCCGGTTAATTTTTGTATTTTTAGTAGAGATGTGGTTTCACCATGTTGGTCAGGCTGGTCTTGAACCCCTGCCCTCAGATGATCCACCCACCTGGGCCTCCCAGAGTGCTGGGATTACAGGTGTGAGCCGCTGCGCCTGACCAATAAATTTTTAAATAGCAAGTTTTATGTTGTGTGATTTTATCACAATAAAAAAGTAAAAATTTATACTGAATGATCTTAATTACATAAGACATTTAAAAAGATTTAAGGAGTAAGTCCTTAATACTTAAGGATTAGATACTCCAGAATATTAATAGTCATTCTCTCAATATGGAGGGATATTTTCTTTATAAAATTTCCTTCATATTTAGAGAATATGTACATTGTTTTTAAATCATTACAAATTTGTATGCCCAATTGTATAAAAAATAGTGGCAAAATCCATAGACATTATTTTCCAAATTTTCAAATTATAAAATTTTAAAATGCTAAAAATTGATTTAAATTTTGTCTTTTCATCTAGTGGCTTGATAATGTTATTCAGTGGTTTTTAAAATTTGGATAGAGTTGGTGAAATCTGGGGTTCCAAATTTTAAGTAGTTAAGTTGCTATCACATGGGCTTAATTGGTTCTTTTTCTTTCTAAAAATTTTTATTCTTCCAAAACAGATTCATATGTGCCTTTTCCCCATATTTGAATGTTTTTTTTTTTTTTTTTTTTTGAGACGGAGTCTCGCTCTGTCACCCAGGCTGGAGTGCAGTGGCCGGATCTCAGCTCACTGCAAGCTCCGCCTCCCGGGTTCTCGCCATTCTCCTGCCTCAGCCTCCCGAGTAGCTGGGACTACAGGCGCCCGCCACCTCGCCCGGCTAAGTTTTTGTATTTTTAGTAGAGACGGGGTTTCACTGTGTTAGCCAGGATGGTCTCGATCTCCTGACCTCGAAGTGCTGGGATTACAGGCTTGAGCCACCGCGCCCGGCCTTTGAATGTTATTTTTAAAGTTGAGAGAATTTTCTCTCTTTGTTACATTCTTGGGAAAAACTCAATACACTGCAAAGAGAGAGAGACAAATGGGATCCATAGTGATTATGGTGTATGCTGTTCTGACTTACATGTTATTTATTTTGTGTGTGTTTTATATGTTTTCTATTTGTGTTGAGAACACTTAAAATCTACTCTCTTAGCAGTTTGCAAGTGTAATAAATTGTTAGTAATATGTTATTATTATATGTTGTACAATAGATTGATTCTTCATTGAATTTCATATTCATATCACAGGCATCTTTTGGAAAAAATTATTTTCAATAATTTTCCTCAGAAAAACATTTTGTGATGCTATCTGATCTTTATCTTGCCTTCAGTTTTACTTAGTATATAATATGAAGTAGACTTAATTTTCAGTTCCACAGAAATAAGATTAAAGTGAATATAGTTAGTTTTTGGTTCTTTCACAATATATAACTAAGTGTTTGATTTTTTTCATAGTATCTTAAAGTATCTGCTTGTATATGATCTGTACTGCTAATTCTTTTTGTTTTGTTTTGGTTCTGGAAAAGGTATGTACTGCTAATCTTGAAGATGTTTTTTATTTACAAAAGTAACAGTATTCTTTTAAAAATTCTGTTTCAGAAAACTGAAAAAAGTGAATTTCTAAATTTCTTCTACAACCATTGTATGCATGTTCTCACAGCACCACTTTTGACCAATACTTCAGAAGACAAATGTGAAAAGGGTAGGATCTCTTATTTATCTGCTATGATTTCTGTTTTTAAAGAAGGATGAGATAAATATTAAACTAACAGGCAATTTACTTGAAACTTTATATGACAGGGAAATTATGACTGAAAAACTTAAACTGCAATATAAAATTACGATTTTCCTGTTTCTTAGGGTTATGGAAGTGACTATTCTTTCAGGGGCCATTTCTATAGTTTGTTACTACAGAAGTTTCTCTGAATGTGTAGACCACTGGCGGAAAACAAAAAAAGAAAATGTGGCAAACAGTATTACACACTAAGGAATTGAGATGTAGACACTTATCAAAAGAAAGCATTGTCCCCAAATTTGTGAGAGTTGATATCTAGAATGAGTAGGACCAAATAGTATAAATATTATAACTTAGTCTCCAAATATACATTCATATGCCAATATATGCTGATATATATGGGCAAGGCTTTTTCATTAGTATTTTAAAAATTGCATTTCCATATTCTCTTTCTTATATAATCAGCACCCGTAATTCATCAGCTGCAATTTCTGTTTCAGTTTATTAAAATGGAGTGAAAATCTAAAAATATTTTTGAAGGAGTCTGAGTGTAGAATCCTACTATGGTTTTAGTATATCCCTCTAGGTAATCATACTTGCATATATCTAATTTGGAGGCAATTTTTAAATTGAGTTCTACTATATTCAACTTAGCCATAGATATTACAGTTCTCTGAGATTTCATCAACCTCAGAGATTTCATTAATCTCATATGTTACCATATGACCATAATACATACTAATGTAAGCAAAGGACTTTGAAAAGCTTACAACTTAATTAGTGAAATCAGAAATATGTGGAGCATAATAGAACATTAGCCACTATCTGAAAATATTTGTTAACCTGAAGAGTCACTTAAAAGGAAGTTAGTTAGGAAAATTTTATGAAACTAGTACGTTGAAACATGAGCACACCCTGTGTAATACTATCAGTTCCATTTCTGAGTATATACTCTAGGGAATGTTTGTGCATATGCATGACAGGTACAAGAATGTTGCTGCATTGTTTGTGGTAGGAAAATGACTAAAATATGTTTTTTTCAAATAATGGAATACTATATAGCAGTTAAAATAATTGAATTTTGATGTATCAACTGAATAATTCCCCAAAATATCAAGGTGAATGGGTACAAAAGCACATCACAGAGGGTTTTCTTGCAGAATGGTTCCATTTATATAAATAAAAATAATGCATTTTTTATGTTCATTTTAATAAAAACTTCCGGCTTACAGAAATATATAGATAATAGTATAACAGACACTCATATACTCCCTGTTGGCTTTATCAAAACTAACTTGCCATATTTTTTTTCAGATTTTTTTTTAAAACATTACAGATATAGTTGGAGTTTCGTATGTACCCCTTCACATTCCCATTCCCATTCTACCCCCTCTTCCTCCATCTCTCAAGGTATGCTGAATTTGGAGTTTATCACTCCTGTGTTTACTTATGTTGTTATGATGTGTATATACGGTATTATTTTTCATATTTTCAAAGTTGCTATAAATTTAATGTCTGTCATACGTATTATTCTGCATATTTTTTATCCAGTGTTATTTTTGAGATCTGTTCGTATTGATACCTGTTCATATTGATCTAATTCATATTGAAATAGAGTTCTTATTTAATTTTAACTCCTACATAATCCTCTCTTATGAGTATGCTGTAATAGAGCCATTCTGCCTCTAATGTGCATTTGTTTCTAGCTTTTTGCTATTACAAATAATGCTCCAGTTACATTCTTGTGTTTCCCTATGCACATGTGCCTTGATGTGCTCTAGAATGTATGCCTAGAAATTGGAACTTATTTATAATGGCCTACTTAATTGAGTTTTTTGGTTTTTTAAATTTAAAGCATAAACACATTTATTATTCTGGAGTTTTAAAAATTCCTGTATTTTCTGTTTTTAAAAATGAGATGAATAATGGATGATCAAATGCAAATATTATTTTAAAAAATTAAAAATAAAAAAACAAAAATGAGATGAAGAGAAATATCCTAATTGTTGAATGATGAATAGGAGAAGGTAAAAGAAGATATGTTGATTTTATCCCTGGTTGTAATCTTACTTTTTATCAGAATATATATGCTATGTTGTCTTTTAATAATTCTATAGCTACATCCACTTTTGTAAAAGATTGCAGATATAGTTATAATTTTGCTGAAGCAACCAAGTCTTAATGGTTATTTTGAGGGTAAAATGAGATTATGATTGAAGTCATGCATTGTATATTATAAAGTACTAGGGAAAGGTGGGATATTATTACTGAAGTATTTGATTTTAATTTTTAATTTTTTTATTAGATAATATAGTTGGATCAAACAAAAACAACACAATTTGCCCTGGTAAGTATAAATTCGTACTTTACGAATACATGCAAATTATAAACTTTTTTTCTACTTTAAGTGTAATGCACTTATATAAGGCTAAGAAAAGCATATTTTGGCATAAAAACAAAATCCAAAAATTTATTTTTGTCTGTATTGTAAAGAAAAAATTCCACTATCTCCAGTATTAAAAATAGAAAACTAGTTGGAATTCTGTTGTTTTTTCCCTGAAAATGTATAGCTTGTTTTCTGACGTTGTTATGAGAAGGCATTGTCTGAAAGTCGAGGATTTAGTTCTTATTTTTGAAATGTAGTAACTAAGACCAGTTACTTTGCAACTAACTTTCATGACCACTTTATGCTTATTGTTCATGAATCTGAGTCAAAAAGTAGTTGTTCCTATTTAGAACAGGCATACTAGGTATGGGCTTGATACTAATAAAGACATGTGCTGTGTACACCTAGTGTCCCATGCCTTTTCTGCCAGCCTCATCAAATCTCAAAGGGGAGCCAGTTTCAAATAAGGAGGCTGTTCAGAGATTGGACTATTTAGAGATATGAGTAATTTCTTGTCCCAGTTATAAAGAGGAAGACAAGACATTTGTTTAACACTGTAGGTCATTGTTTTTTGTTTTGTTTGGTTTTTTTTGTTTGTTTTGTTTTGAGATAGAGTCTAACTCTGTCGCCCAGGCTGGAGTGCAGTGGCACAATCTTGGCTCACTGCAACCTCTGCCTCTTTGGTTCAAATAATTCTCCTTTCTCAGCCTCCTGAGTAGCTGGG